CTTCTTTTTTTTTTAATATCCATTTGTTTTAGCATCATTTATTGCAAAGATTGAATGTGGTTATATGGATATGTGACTGACTGTGTGTGGATAATTCTTTAAGTCAGATAGTGTAAGTTCTTCAACATAGTTGATTTTAAAAAATTTTGGCTTCTTAGTCCCTTGCATTTCCACATACAATTTCAAAATTGATTTACCGACGTCTTTAAAATATTTTACTGGAATTTTGATTGGGATTGTGTTTTGTTTTTTTTAAATAGATCAGTATGTGGAGAGCTGTCATCTTAACAGCTAGTCTTCTGATCTGTGAATATGATATAGCTCTGTGTTTTTTAAGGTAATCTTTAATGTCTGTCAGCTGTGTTCAATAGTCTTTATTGTACAATCATTACATATATTTTATTAACTTTATCACTAAATATTTTGTATTTTTGATGATTTTCTGAATGGAAGTGTTTTCTTAATTTCCTTTTCCTGTGCCAGAATTTCTTGCATCTTGTCTTATTGTACTGGTGCAAATATCTTTATGTATCTTGTTTCTGCTCTTAGATAGAAGGCATTTAGTGTTTACCATATTAAGTATGATGTTAGCTGTAGGCTTTTTGTAGATAGCCTTTATAGATTGAGGGAGATCCTTAGTTTGCTGAGTTCTTATTTTACCATGAATGGGTGTTGATATTTGGTAGATGCTCTTATTATACCTGTTAAAATGACTATTAGTGGTTTTTTTACTTTGTAGTGAATTCCATTAATTTTAAATATTAAACCAACCTTGCATTGCTGAATAATTCTGAGTTGGTCATGATGTTTTCTTTTAATATGTTTTTCTGGATTTAATTTGCTCAAATATTTTTAAGGATTTTTATATCCATGGTCATGAAGAAATATTGGAATATAGCTTACTGGGTTTTCTGTGTTTGTTTGGAGTGTCATCTGATTTTGGTATCAGGGTAATGATGTTCATAAAATGAGTTAAGAATTAGTCCTTTCTCTTTTACCTTCTGAAGGAATTAATGTAGGTTGGTATGTTTTGGAAATTCAAATATATGATAGAATTGACCAGTGAAGCCATATGGGTGTAGTTTTGTTTTTGTTTTTTTTTAATATATTTCTTTATTGATTTCAGAGAGGAAGGGAGGAGAGAGAGATAGAAACATCAATGATGAGAGAGAATCATTGATCGGCTGCCTCCTGTACGCTCCCCACTGGGGATCGAGCCCACAACCCAGGTATGTGCCCTTGGCCGGAATCGAACCTGGGACCCTTCAGTCTGCAGGCTGACGCTCTATCCACTGAGCCAAGCCGGCCAGGGCAGTGTAGTTTTTTTGAGGGAAGGTTTTTAAACTCAAATTCAGTTTAACAGCTATAGAGGTGTACAGTTTTTCTCTTTTTCCTTGACTTAGTTTCAAGAAACTCATCTATTTTAAGTTATAAAATTGATTTTTATATATTTAGACTATATTTAGAATATATTTTATATATTTAGAAAAACTTACATAAGTTTTTGGTTTTACTTATTTATCTTTCTGTTTACTTTCTATTTCATTAATTTATTTCCCCCCCCCTCTCTCCCCTTGTTTTGGGTTTAATTAATTAATTTTTACTATTATTTTAGTTTTTTAATGTGGGAATAGATCATTGTATTTTAGATTTTCTTTGTAAAGTAGTATTTTCTTTAAAACACTGCTTATCCTGTATTCAAAATATTTTCTGATTTCTCATAACTAATTGCCTTTATGACTTATAGCTTATTAGAATTTTGTTTTATTTCCAAATACTTCCATAATTCCAAATATCTTTCTACTTTAATTCCATTGTAATGAGAGAATATATTCTGTATACAGTGGGGCCTTGACTTACGAGTTTAATTCGTTCTGAGACCGAGCGTGTTAAGGAGCTCGTTAAAAAGCTCGTTGACTCAAATTACTCTATCAACTCAATGCAAAATATCGGCCAAGAGACAGCTGGTATCTCAAAAACTCGTTAGTCGGGACACTCAGTGAGTCAAGGCCCCACTGTATTTTAAACCTTTTAAGTTTATTGAGAGTTTTTATGAGGCTCAAAATAATGTCGTCTTTGCCAGTGCTCCATGTGAACCGGAAAATAATATTCTGCTGTTTTAGGATCTGTTGATTGATAGTGTGCTCAGATGTTCTGTACCTTTACTGACTTTTTTTGAGGGGGTGGGGTGAGTGTCTACTTTTATCTGTCAGTTACTGTGAGAGAAATGTAAAAATCTAATATGATTGTCTATTTTCCTTTCAGTTCTGTTTGCTTTTATTTATTTGAAGCCTTATTAAGCATATGTATAAAAGGCTCTTGGGACCCAATTACTGTGTGTGTGTGTGTGTGTGTGTGTTTTCTCACATATCACACAATTATGAGACATTAATTGGGTGCCCTACAGTTTAACTCAATTCTGACAACTCTACCTGGAAATTGCACCAAATTCCACAAGTTAAGGGGTCAATCCTACAATACTACCCCCTTTTCGCCTCTTCAGATGCCAGTTGCAAGTCCAGGTTGTTACCTGGGGTTCTAGATGTTCAACTGGCTATGGATTGGAGGTTTCAAGGACCTCTTCTTTGGGTTTAATTAATTTATTAGAGCAACTCACACAACTCAGAGAAACATTTTACTTACTAAATCACTGGTTTATTTTAAAGAAGCTAACTCAGGAACAACTAAATGGAAGAGACACATAGAGCAAGGTACAAGGGAAGGGGTGAGGAACTTCCATCTTCTCTCTAGGTGTTCCACTCCCCCTACATCTCCATGTGTTCACTAACTTGGAAGCTGCCCTTTTGGGTTTTCAAGGAGGCTTTATTACATAGGTGTGATTGATTGGATCATTGGCCATTGGTGATTGATTGAAAATCCAGCCCTCATGCTCTACTTTTAAATAATGTTTTTCTCATAGTGTAAGATATTGACAATATATATCACATTTGTGCTGCCATTGTCAAAGAATTTATTTCTGCACATTATATACCACATAATGAATTCATTGTTAACATAAACACTATGTGCTAAATAGCTATGTTTTAAAAACCTTTAAAAATGAGGAAAATGTCTTTTATATTTACCTGGATAAAGCATTTTACCTTAATATTTGAAAGATATTTTTGCTTGGTATAAAATTAGACAGGTTGAGGTTGAAATAACCTTTTGGATATATGGATTTGAAGCCTAGGAGAGAGATGAAGCATTCAGTGATGGTAGAGAAGTTCTGAGGAGTCCTGCTATTCCCTGGTCAGGCTATTCCTTGGCTCTTAGTGGATGCTGGCTAGCAGGGAGTGATATAAGATAGATGATATAATTTATAAAGAATTGATAACACTGTAAAGGTCAGGGGGCTAGAGAAATAAGGACCTGGTTTCGAAGTCTTCACTGAAATTCATATAAGCCTTTTGTCATCACATATAAAACAATTATAGCATTAATTATTTTTTTAAAACTCCCCATGGTAATCCAAAGTATTATATTCTTCTTGGAGCCTTGAAAGAAACATAATTTTAGGTTGTGTGTAATAAGATTTTTTTAAAGGTGTATTTAAATATTTTAAGCATGGAAGAGTATGGTAAGAATTTCTTCCATCGTTAGTATATATTTTATATTTAAAGTGACCTAAAATTAAATTAATAGGTTCTGGAAAATTACAGTTACCCACTATAATTTTCAGTTATTGGCAAAATGATACAAATTGAAGATACTGATTTGCTGATATACTCTCATAGACCTTAAATTATGTAGAATAAGAGATACTTTTCAGAGTGTACAAGCTAGCCAGACAGATTAAATTGTTTTTTCAGGAAGTATTCAATAACTTAGGGTATATAAGTATATACAGGGGTGGGCACAAGTAGATTAATAATAATAAGTACAATAATTACTAAATAAATAATAAAAGAATAAACTCATAACTGTAAACCTACTTGTGCCCACCCCTGTATTTAAATGTTGATTCTGTTGTACACTTAATGTCAGTATTAGATTGATGGAAAATAGGATGCATGGTACACAATTTTATCTCTGAACTTTAAAAACTCAATTTACATTACTTTAAATTCTGTGGTCTTTTTAAAAAAGATCTTAATGGCTTTAGTTTTGTTTTGTTTTTCCTCACCAAAGGATATGTTTTTGTAATGATTTTAGAGATATGGGAAGAGAGAGGGATATATATATAGAGAGAGGATATATATAGATAGATTGCTTCCCATAAGCACCCTGGTCTGGGATCAAACCTGTAACTTGGATAATGTGTCCTGACTCAGAATTAAATCAGCAACCTTTTGGTGTTCGGGACGACGCTCCAGTCAACAGCCACATTGACCAGGATGATCTTAATGGTTTTTGCTTCGTGTGAATATGATAGTTGGAATTTTGACCATTTCAGATTTGGAACTACTACTGGTTCCATTACTAATCAAATGGTTTAGTTATCAAGATATTTTTCAATGTAAGCATTGGCTCAGGTCTGTAGTTTTTCTAGAGCATTTTTTTTCCTAAATAAATTTCACATAGAATCCTAGTATAAAAAACAGATACTAGTGGTTTTATATTTCTTTATAAGTTAGGGATTCAGATGAATTGTATTAACTTACACCAGGGTGGGCAAACTTTTTGACTCGAGGGCCACAATGGGTTCTTAAACTGGACTCAGAAGAAGGAGCTGTGGCCGTGTTTCCCGACGTTGCCATGTTAACACTGCTGCTGGTGAAGGAGCAGAGGGGAGAGCAAGAGAACCCTCCGCTCTTTCGGCTCCGCGGGCCGGATAGAACAGCCGAACGGGCCGGATTGCGGGCCGTAGTTTGCCCACGGCTGACTTAGACCCTAACCATGAGATAAGATGTCCCATAAAAAGAAAAATTGGAATTGGCTGTCTGACATTGGATCCACTTCCCTTCTAATATAGAAAATTATATTTCAATGTAAATATAAACTTTTAAAAGAAATTTACTAATGTTGTGTAACTAATAACTTTTTTTTTTTTCCTTCAGGGAAATGAGGCAAGTTATCCTTTGGAGATGTGCTCACACTGTAAGTCAAATATTCTTGTTAATTTGTTTTATACTTACATTTCTCTTTATATTTATATATCACATACTTCTTTCTATATGTTTGTGTAGCAATGTTAGCACATGATTATTTAAAATGGGTAGTGAATTTGACTTATAGTCTTAATTAGAATAGAGAATTAGAATTTTTTTTTTACAGACTTTTTTATTATTGGGATCTGCAGTATGCTATAGTTACAAACCAAACCTCAAATATCAGTGGCTTAATTGAACAATTAACTTACTTATTTTGTGTTTACATAAAATAAAGTACTTGCTGAAGGCAAAACTTTGGTAGTCCAAGTAGCTATTGCAAAAAATCTTTTTGGGGGAGAATGAGGAATTTAAGCAGTGTGGGTGGGCTTGTTATTTCTGACTGTATTGGAGGATGTAAAAGCAGAACATGACACTGTTAGATGTCGATTCAAGGATCAGTCAAAAAAACCAAAAGGTTTTTTTGTGTGGAAGGCCATTGATAGGGGAAAGGGAGATCCTGAGAATTGTAATGGAGACATTTGGTAAATTTAGATATCATGAGGCGGTCACAGAACACCGAATCATTCTAAACCTTCCTTGCCCTTTTCATCCCTGTTTGATGGAGCTGCTCCTGCCTTGTTTGGAGACCTCTTACCTTGCAATGAGGTACCTCTTCCTTTTTTTTTTTTTTCTTTCTTTCATTAAAACCATTTTACTTGTTGCTCATTATGTTTCATTAGTTTGCTTTCTTTTCCCCAAACACTTGTCAATTTCTTTCATTCTCATCAACACCTTTGCTTGCTTCTGAGCTCTGGGTAGAATGCTCTTGTGTCAAGTTTTTGTTTTGTTTTAACAATTGATAATTTATTAAAAAGTTTGATTTAAGTATCTGCAATGGTGTCTTAAGTCTTGACTCCTGTATCAATACTATTGGAAGTAATATATTTAACAACCTCTAACAATCTCAGAAGGGCTATACAAGTTAATGAGTCGCTTGTGGATCCTCATCTGAAATGGATCCCAAGTCTTAGAACATTTCCCACGGAGTTTTTCTTGTAGTGATCCTTAGAGTCTTGGTGGACATCCAAACTGGTCTTTTCACTTTTCCTTTGCTCCTCTGATCAAGTCAGCACACACCTTCTCCAAAGACTACATTGCAGCTAGTTAGAGTAATTCTAATTCAGTGAATCGCCACCTCTGGCTCCATGGATATCTTTCCTGTATCTTTAAAAGCCATGGCTGTGGCATGGTTTCCTGATGGATTTATTCCTCCGTAAGAGCAAACAGTGGTGAGTCAGGAGCAGAAGCCAGTGGAACAGAGCTCTGCTGCAGCTTCAACCTTGTCTTCTTTTAAGAGTTGTATCAAGTTCCTTACTTACTTGACTTCATTGTCTTTTAACTCTTAGATAAATGTTATCTTTCCTCTCCTAAGAATCTATCATGGGTAGTAAGTACCCTGTTTATTTCCTTGTAGCAAAGAAATTACTTGTTTTTATTCATCCATTTCTATCTTCCATTTTGTAAGTTATATAATTTATTTTTAAATGAGTGATACTCTATGACCAATTACCCAGAATTCTGCCATTTGAACTACATACATTTTATTGTTTTTCTTCTCAGGCTTTCCTTTATAAATTTCTTACATAATTATGTTCACATTCAAATGTATATTTTTATTTTAATACTAGAGGCCCAGTGCATGAATTCATGCACCCGTGGGGTCCCTTCAGCCTGGCCTGCACCCTCTTGCAATCCAGGACCCCTCGGGGAATGTCGGAGAGCTGGTTTCACCCTGATCCCCGCAGTTTTCTGTGCACCAGGCCTCTAGTATGCATATAAGATCTTTGGTTAATCTCTTCCCACCCTCTCCTCTCCCCTCCCCTCTTCCCTCTGAGATTCATCAGTCTGTTCCATGTTTCCTTCCATGCCTGTCGTTTCCACTCCTGCATTGAGCGTCTGTCCCCTGGTGGTCAGTGCGCATCATAGCTACCAACCAGTCACTTAGGCTTTTATATATATAGATAAAGATAAAATGTTGCACCTAGCATATTGTAAAAATTGACCTAAACAAAACCTGATTGTGACTATACTACCGCCTATCGGCAGTTTTGTTAATAAAGTTTTATTGGAACACAGTCAAGCCCATTTGTTTACATACGGCTGTTTTTATGCTACAGTGGTAGAGTTGAGTAGTTGCAATGGAAACTATATGGTCCATAAAGCCTAAAATATTTACTATCTGGCCTCTTACAGAACAAGTTTGTTGGAACCCTATTATAGACAGTAATGGTCTTCTGAATTTGAGAACTGTCACCTCTATCACTGCCTAACCTATCTGAACTATGGTCAAACTAGAGTTTTTACAAGCTAATGCTTTAGGTGTTAGCTACATCTAGAATTCTTATTTCTGGCAAAGTTAATATGTCGGTATTATAGTTTCTTTAGAATCAAAAGGGTGTGCTCAAAATTGTACCTTGCTACTTCGAGCGTGTGACAGTTATTCTTGCTAATGGGCAAGAAGGAGGTTTGGAAGTCTAATTAACCAGGCTTCATGCTGCAAATGGAGTTTAGATTGAGTTTTGGAAGTATTGTACAACTCTGATTGGAATGAGGTACTAGGAAATTAGTTTTTGTTTCTTGGTCAAGGAACAGAGGTCCTAAGTATTTCCAAGGTTCTTCTCTTTGCTTCTTTTACCTGGTTGCAAAGAAAAATATATTAGGGCAAAAGGCAAGATGGATGGCCTTCTGCACATCCAGATGGCAAAAGCCAAGTTGTTTTTTTTTTAATGTGTGGTATTTGAAATAAATGTCATACACTGTTAAAGCTCTTTTGGTTTTATCCTTAGAACTTAGTCTTCTTTCTTAAGACTTCATCTATGCTTAGTGAAAACTGTTGAACCTTGTCAGGAAAGGTTTATACTTGTCAGTGAATATTCAACCAGCAATAAATCTATATGACTTAATCTGTTAGCCAGTATATAGTGCCCCCCCCCCCCCCCGCCTCTGTTCCCTACTTGGTTCATCAGAATACAGTGTACTTTTGTATATTTTATACATGATTTGGATTAATTTCTCCAAAATGAACTTGTCCACATTAAAACCAACACTTTTTCCTGCCATCCATACATTGTAAATTTTTTTCTCTTATTTACAAACCTCTTCATTATTGGAAGAGCTTAATATTATCTATATATAAGATAAGAATGTTAAAACCAGTCTTTGAGGCGCTTCAATATTTATACTTCCCTGTTTGGGTTAAACCCTGTCATGCCTTCTCATTCCTTTAAGACCCAGTTTGATTCTTTGTTCTCAGTGAGGCCTTATAATTGTCCCAGTTTTCATTGGTCCTTCCTGTTCTTCAAGTGGTTATTGTCTGTTTTGTTCTTTTAGTATTTAATTGTGCTACTTTTTAAAAGGTAAGGTACTATCTTCGGCCCATGACACAGATAAACAACACAAGGTGCTTATGGTCTAGCTACTGGGAAAAAGAGGAACGCATATATTATTATAGTGGAACTAAATCTTTATGAAAAACAAAAACAGGGGTCCCAGGGAGTGGAAATTATCCTTGGTTAAGGAAATTAAGAAAAGCTTCACAGAAGGACTGACTTTTGAAATTGTTTTTGAAAGCTGTATTAGTTTTCAATACTGATTAATTCTTTCACTTGTCTGGTCATTTGTCCCTTTCATTCTCCTTAAATTGCATCTAGATTTTCATCATTCTATCCAGACACCCTGCATAGTCATTCCCAATATCCTACTTTTACTCACTGATTTCTCTCCTAATTCTTAAGAAAACTGAGAACATTTTAAGTGTTAACCTCATTATCTCCTTATCTCCAACTCCCCCTACTTTCCACTCCTCCCCACTGCACACAGAAACTTTCCCAATCGCATGCTCATACCCCCTTATTCTAGGTCAGCCTCCTTGCTTGTGCTTTGGATCTCATCCACTCTCATCTACAGGACTGTTTTGTTAGGTTCTCCCTGTTTTTCAGCTGCTCCATCTCTCTTCAATTTATAGACAGGATTAACTTCCTTGATCCTGACCCTTCATGCACCTCCCAGTTTTTCTCCATTTTTTCTCATATTTGAGCTTCCTAGAAGAGCATAATCAGTTATCTCCATTTCAGTATTTCTGCTAATTTCACGGCCTGTAAACTGACTTTTATTCCCTACTATCTACTGAAACTTTAAGGTCACCTTCATTTTATTGCATAATTGCTAAATCTGATGGATTAAAAACCATGTACATAAAGCAGATGCTGAGTAAGTATCTCTTGACTGAATAAGTTAGTCAGAGCTCACAGCTGAACTAGCTGTGTTGGATAGACAACTAGTTGGGTAATTTTAAAGGCTGTACCTTTAGGAAAATTCCGTAGTTACCAATCATCACACTTAATTTGTTTCATGAATAATAAAACAAATGTGCCAGGCACTATTCTAAGCATTTCACATACATCAATGTTTTTAATCTTCATGATAGTCTCATGAGAGAGGTATTATTACTTAATCCTTTGTACAGAAGAGAAAACGGGCAGAAAGATCTCAATCACACAGCCACAGGTAAAGGAACAAAGACATGATTTGATCTCAGGCAGTCATGCTCCAGAGTCATATGCTTAATCCCAATCCTATACAGCCTCCCTTATAATAAATGTTATAAGATTATGTTATGTTTGTCTGCACATGAATTACTTTAGGCAAACTGGACTTGTCTAAGACATAGAAGTATTCTCTGAACCCCCACTTCTCAGTTCAGTGTTCACTTTTCATTGAGTTAAATTATTCTAGGCCATTGTGACTTTGTTTCTGTCTGTTAGCTAACCTGTCTGGACTATAGTGGAAATGTATACTCTGTTGGGGTAATTTGCTCAAAGTTGAGACCTTACTTGTAACTTGGCATGATGACTTGGAAAAGTGACTGTGTAAGATACTACTTTAGATAGTTTAAACAGAACTAGATTGGGGCACAGTTGAAAGTGTAAATTGAAAATCAGATTCAAC